TATTTTGCCTCATTTGTCAGAAGCATGAATATGCTGCATGGAAATCAAACGAAGTTATGAAACAGGAAAAATATATACAGGCAATTTGTCAGTTCCCACAGGAAATTAGTCATAATATTACTTGTGATTTTTCGTACATATGGTTAATAATCACACATATTAAAACATAAATGCTTTTAGAATTCATGAGATTTGGACACTAAAGAAATTCTGAAGTTGGGCATACAATTTTAGAATCTCATAAATATACATGACTGAAAACCCATAAATAGAAACATGTCTATCCAGCTAAAAAATGTGCTGCTTTTGTGTCTTTTATAGTTATGCATCAAAACGAGATGAGGCAACTACTAGTAGCGGCTGGAAATGGGATATACACATTAAATACCAGGAATGATGACCAGTGTGCAGTATTAACTAGTGGTCCAATTCAAAACCTCTTAAAATCAATGGAATGAGCCAGACTCTAAAAAAGCAGATGTTTCTGCCATGATGCTTTAGAAGCAACAAAATAACAACAAAAACGAAGAAGCAGGTTTTAGAGTATTGCTATGACAAGCAAGTTACAAGGTATGAGTGATTTTAAATTGTTGTTTCACAAAGGTTATGTCATGTATGTGGCTGGGTTCAAACAGATCTGTATGTATTGAAGGCTTATTTGTTATTTAAACTAGTTCTGCCCCTTCATATTAACAGTGCAAAATAATTTTAGAAATCTCCCAAGAAAATAGCCGACTTCTTGCACCACCATCCCAAAATATTGTAATTACGGTGCTTTTTATGAGGATTTTTAGCATTTTAAATTACATAAGACATAACTTTAAAAAGTCATTTCACAATGAGACAGGATCCACTTATTTTTTCTCCTAAAACAAAATTCTGTCCAGATATTTCCAAATCTTTGTTTCTCTATTTTCTGCTGCCAGAAAATGTCTCAAAAGCTCACATAAATTGCATCCTTTCAGAAAGTAAACTTTCAGGTTTTTGATCCCAAGCAAGGTATTTCAGTTATCTCTGAAACAAAAGCAACCTGAAAATGACTTCTTCTCAGCACAGAGAGGGGAAAGTCTAAGTTAGATGGGTCACCTGGTTCCCAGCTGTGGCCTGAGGCCCCTCAGACACTTCAGCCATCATCATGAGAACAGTGTGTGCAGGGTAAGTTCACTGGGGGTACCTCCAATGAAATTTTTGCAGGAAAATATGTGCTTTTGAATGCATTTGTTTTTAGTTTTCCTGTAAAAATAATCAGACACACAACATTATTATTATTAATAATGTTTTTAAACCAAACATGAAATATACTGTGAGTATTTTGAGGGGATACACTAGTGATTCTAGTGCTTTTTCTTCCTTGTTAATACCTCACCCGCCACAAAAAAAAAAAAAAAAAGCAAGCAGTAGAAACTTTATGAGCTGTGAAATCTCAAACAGGAGGGCAGGAGGGGAAGCTTTTTGTCCCTGTTGCAACAGTAGCTGAAAAGTGACAATTGCAAATCCTCCTGTTTTGCTTCCCTGCTAGCCTGTATATCCTGCTGTTTTTCTGTGCCTTTTACATAAGATATGCTCTTGTTCAATGCAGAGCTCAGCTTAGGACACAGAAGGGATGCTTATCCAGAGCAAAAATCAGGAAGATTCGTGTTCTATAAACAAAACCAAGCAGGTAAACATTTCAAAAATAATAGGGGGTATCAATGCAACCACAGCAATTTCTACTCATCCTACTTTCTAGCTCTTTCTCATGTGATGTTTACCGCCCCTAAATTCTTGTTGTTTCTTCAGACTGCGTGTGGGTGCAGACTTACCCCCTTGACCTCCTTGGAGACCACGCACAAGGAGAGCTGCATGCTTGCAGGAGGTTTTTCTGGTGTCCTCGGCTCTACCGAAATTCCCAGCAAGATTTAACTGAGCTCCTCAGTAGAGCTAGAACTTCAACCAGCTAGTGTGTGTCACTGCAAAGCTCTGTACTGAAAGACAAATGGTTTCAACAGCAAGAGATCCCCCTAAAGCTTTCTGATGTTGTTTCATGCTCAGTTTAAGCTTCTGTGCACAATATCATTACTAAATGGGGAAGTCCTGCCCTTCCTCCTATGCTGTCTGCACATTTCTGCCCTTGGAGAACTGGCCGAAGCATGCACACAGGTAAATGATGTACCAGGCTAAGGAAATGATCCAGCTGAGAAACAACCCAGCAAAAAAGAAAAGCTGTTTTGAGCAAGGTGGCTCCTGGCCACCAGAGTGGCCCCACACCACTCCATTGGCCCCGCATGACTTAATGGTAACACCAGCTTCAGGAGAGTGTAAAATTGCATTTTACTCCTCTGTTTTCTTCATGATCCATTAAGTCCCTCTTCTAGTGTTTTCGCCTGCAAAAATGACAAACAAGTGAGAAAACATGTAAGAAAAGAGTCAGCCTGTGAGCTTGGTTATGTTTGTATTTCTCAGCAACTCACTGTTCTTGCAATTGATGGGCAATTGATGGCCTCGGTAGATAGCAGTACCAAAGAACAGCACGGATGTTCAACAGATAAGAGTAAACACATCTGTGGGAATCAGTGTGGATGGTCAACAGATACTCAGTGCAAAGTGTCACATACTGCGATGCTCACAGTGCAGCTCTGCGGTGTCACTTCTCCTCTGCTCGCTAGGTTTGTTCAGCACCCAGGGGGTCACTGGAGGGCTATGGCAGCCTCACACTGTGGTGACTCTGGCCATGGAGCACAGGGGCTTCCCTAACTCTTGGGGAGCACCACAGAGCACACCTCTCTTCTCCAGTCATCAGAGCCCATCTGAGTCTGGGCTCCGAGGCCCATGCTGGCTGGTGTGGCACTTGTGGTTCTTCAGGACTTGAGGACTGCAGAGCCATCTGGAGCTCCTTGTTTCCTGAACTGCAGGAGGATCATGGAAACCACCACATCTGCATTTTGAGGAAGTGTCTCATGTTTTCCTGGGGCTCTCATATTAAGTACCTTGACAACTCAACAGCGTATGCAGCCTCTGACTTACGTCTAAAGAAAGATCAGACAGGGAGGGAACATGCAGCTGAATTTCAAAAAAAGAAAACAGTGTGGAAATATCGGAAATAACAAGGATTTTGTTATTACATGGCATTTGGTAATAATCATTCAAATCAACAATCTGATTAATGCAAAAGTCATGATTCATACGAAAAATAACTGTTAGAAATTAAAAAAGCTCTGCAGATTTCTCATAGTACATGTATACAAAATTTTCTGTACAAACTAAAAGTCAATTATGCTCTTGTACCTTATAAATTATTGACTTTTGTCCAAAAAGCAGATATAATGTAGAGTCCAACTGTATGCTTCAACCATTTTATATCTTGTGCCCAGAATTAGACCCTGTGTATAGATTTACCCTTCTACTAATGAATCCTAATATTACAAACAATACTTCAGAAGAGGCAGCTCAGAGACTGCCTCTACCTCCTGCAAACACCCAGCAGAGTTAAAGCTTAGCAGTGTCAACCTCCAAGCTAATTGATTACAGTGAAGATTAAAGCAGACATACTTCAACTCCAAGATTTATTGGTTACTGTACCAAAGATAGGTTTCTATCACAGTAAGGTCAATAAGGACTTTCTATACTTGCAAACAGCAAGGAAATACAATATAATTGCACTTCAGAGTTAGATGAGTATCAGCAAAGAAAGGATTGTGAATCTGTGCAGCTAGCAGAAAACGTTATAGGTTCAAAAGCTGAACAATGAATTGAAAGCACTACAGAAAAAAAAATCTATAAATTGCTTCTGATTTAGACCATGAAGCACAAAGGATAAAAAACAGCATTTCACAAAAGCATTTAAATTATCTTGTTGTTGAGTTACTTCTTAAAATAGCAGTCCATTTTAATATTAAACAACATTATAGCTTCATACAATGTAAATAATCAGGATGACTTTTGGAAAGCAGAAAAATGTTTATTAGCTTTCTGCTACCTCAGTTTTGCTACAGTGCTTTAGCAACCAAGATATATCCTTAATCAGCCAAGGAAATTCCTTCAGGAAAAACCTACCTGAAAGCAGTTTTGCAGAAGCAGATTATTAAATTAGTTTCTTGACTGTCTCTCAGAGGCTCCCAATGCCTTCATCTGCTTCCTGGGTCTTTGCAGCAAGTGACTGAGAAATATGTCTGTGGAAAATTTAACAATTATTGGCTGTGTTTTGAATACATCAGTGTGCACGTGTGAAAAACACTGCCTTGTGTCAGGGCCAAGTTGGCTTTTTCCCAGCAAGGAACAACAGAGGGTACATAAACCCTTAACTGCCTGTCTGATGGAAAACACATTAGGACGACAGGATGGATGAAATTTGCAGATGTCAGGTTGTCTGAAATTGAGAAGAAGAGAGAAGAAGAGAGAAAAGGGGGAAAAAAAAAAGGAAAAGGAAAAGCCATGGAAGCCAGCTATTAAAAAGAGAGACACAGAGAAAGGTAGATAAAGCCTCAGAGAAAAGGCGCACTGGAAGAAGACTGGCTCCAAAAGAGAGCAGTCATCACTAGGTATGTGGGTGCTAGTTTGTCATCCAGAAGAGTAATCAGGCTCTGTCCAAAGAACATTTGAGTGATGAGGAAACTGGGTCAAAAATGGCATGCAAGTCTGTTTATTCTATTTCATCCACATTCCCATTCTTCTCAAGCTGATTAAGACAAAGAACAGTCATTTTTTTCTGGAGGTGTTACAATATCTGTGTTGTTTCAAATACTGCCTGACACTTGAGACAAGTTGTAAACATCCCCCCAGCACTGGGGTACAACACTAGGGATGGTGACACAATTAGGCCAGCTCCAAGAATAAGCAGGTGTTTTCAGTGTGCAAGTGGAAGTCCACTACAGTTAAAGTATTGATTTACATCAGGTTGTCACCTCGGTTCAGATAGCTCTCACAAGGCAAGCACGTTGTATAAAGGAACTTCGAAACATGGGTCTGCTCAGAAAATCTCAAAGTCTGCAATACATAAATATGGGGGTTTACAGTGTGATTACAAGTTTTACAGCTTCCTCAGTGCAACTATGCGTGTAGGAGAGCAATTACCTGTTAACTGACACATTGCTGCTCCCACAAGCCAAATATAACATGACAAATCCTTCAAGCCTCACAAAAAATAGTGAGATTAGGTACAACTACCACTTAGGCTTTCTGTTTAGGTTACCACTGGCAGTTAGTATTACCTTTATGAGAGATTTAAATGCTAATGCATGAAATATAATGTTAAATTCCTAAAATTCATAAATCTTTTTCCCCTTTACACAAGCACTGTTTCTTCACAGGTCATTTGGAACTGAACTTCTCTCATAGGAGAATATCTACCAATGAGACGAACAACTCAGAAGATGCCAATGATTCACTTGCTTCACTGAGGACAACAAGAAAACCCCAATGCACTCAGTCATATTTCATTGCCTCCCATGTAACTACTTTGTGTGCTATACTCTCCATCTCCTTTCCCTTTAGAACCAAAAGAACTAAGGCTTGAAATTCTTTGCTCTATACTCTCTAGTGGTAGACCTGCGTACCAATGGATTTAAGAGTACTTAGAGACAAGAGAACGTGCAGAGACATGGTGTGACAGGATCTATTTCAGCTAGCTGTGAAAACCTCAAAGGTAGGGCTCTTTCTTATAATAGCCACCCTGGATCCCTCTTAAAGCAGGAAGAAATGCACTCGGACATTTATTGTGTGTTTTGTTTGCATCTGTCACATCCTTCTGATTCCTGATGGCTAAGCATGCTAGATACAAGTCACACAGAGCATTGAGTATTATTTAGGATGTTGGAGCTGAGGCCCAAAGACTTTAACTGAACAGATACAATCTTATGAACCAGAAACTTTGTACAGTTCAGGTAAAGAAACAAGCAAAAACCAGTAACAAACCAATCCCAACCCTTTCTATACCTGAAACTGAAGGCAAACAACTTTCATCTTCTTTCTGAAAGTTTTGTTGCTATTAATGTCATATCTTCTGTTCACTGTGCAAAACTCCTGGGGGATGACCAAGGCTGGGCACACACTGACCAACGCAGCAAACGGGCCGGAGAGTTCTCCCATCCCCATTGCTGCAGGCTGCATGGCAACTGGAATTTCCAATTTCCTGAATAGAAAAGGATTTCTCCTCTTAAAATAGGTATTGCTGACCGAATATGTAAGTACGTTATTGCCAAACTAATAATAGCTTCCTCTGATTTATTCTTTTTTAGCAGTATATAGTGGACTATATTTAATTTCTTGGATATGCCCCTTGATTTCCAAAAGTACATTGCCAAGAATGGTGGAATAGAAACTATACTTACTAAAATCAGACAATAAGGCAAGCAGGTTGCTAGAGGAAGGGTTTACTATTCAAAATGATTTTCACAAATGCTAAAAAAAAAAAAGAAAGAAAAAGATGCTATTCAATAAAGACAGATGTGAAGTTCTACACTGGGGCAGGAGGAATAAACTGAAAAACTACAGAATGGGGACAACTTGCTAGGCAATGGTATTGCTGAAAGGAAGCTATGAAGGGCAATGGCTCACAAAGCCAAACCACCACTCCAAGCTATAGAAAAATAGGAAAATTACAAAGGAGATGCACAAGGGGAGATATTGTCTACTGGACACAGGACAAAAAACGTCCATGTCACAGGCTGGTACCACTGTTTCTGCTATGCTTCATTCTGAGAACTGCACTTCAGAAAAGATAAGGATAATGGTCACCAGTGTAATTTGTTTTTATTTTTCCATGTGGCTATTCTCTGTATTTTAAAAATACCCAGATCATATACAGTTTTTCACACAAGATCACTGCGCAAAACACCATTGCCTAAGGATAGCAATAAATTAGCTATACTTGTGAATATTAGAAATGATTTATTTTCTGATTTACTGTTTCACATTTCATATAGAGGTGACCAAGAATAACTTCCAGTCCCATCAATCTGGAATTTGACATGTTTTTAATAAAACATGAGATAACTGTTATTGCTGTATCCATTCTGTGTGTAAAATAATATTAAAAATGCATGTGAAAATACTGAAATATTTCTTTCCTGTTTGCTGGCCCGAAAAGAAATGTTTAATTTCATCTGGACACTAACTGAGCAGGCCTGCCTGAGTCACTTTACTGCCCAGCAGGAATCACAAAACCACGTCCCTCTCTGGTCAGATCTGAGCTCCCATTACGTATTGTTGGCTCAGACTGAGAAAGACTAAGGTCGATTAGATACAAAAGATTTCCTGACAGAGAATTTTACTGACATAGATTTTTCTTCTGTAGAAATTTTGGAGCTAAAGGAAAACTCTCTTAATAGGGAGATGACATTTGAAACACACTCAATGATTCTCAGATTTTTTCTGCTTGAGGGAAAAATCTATCATGCCTCATGCTACCTATCATTTCCCAGCACTAGAAACCTATCTTGGTGCATTCATACCATCCCTTATGAAACTCAGGTAATCTAGCTCCTCTCGGGCTCCTTTTTGGGAAAGGACTCACTCTGCTGACTTATTAAAACAGCAATTGCTTTGAGTTTGACCAAGCACAACAACATGGGATTCAATGATTCCCAACCCTGCTGCAGTAAGATTAATATTTTGTGGCTTGGATGTGAGAGCGAGCTCTCCCACTGCCTTTCAAAGGTACATTTGCAGATCAGCTTATTATAATTTGCACTGAATTATTAATGCTGAAGTGACTGATTAATTCAAAACGTGTGTGCTGGTTCTATCAGAGCATACTGCGCTCTGCAGAGCAAATGAAATTGGAGCAGATGGAGAGGGGCAGAACCTGCACAACTTCTTTGCTGACCCCTGCAGGCACAAGCTGATTCTGACAGCTTTTACCTTTGACCACATCTATTTTGTACACTCCTTCCACAACATGGAGCTTGGGAGGAAATCAAATATGGTCTAAATCTACACTGGAATGCAATTCTAATGTGGGCTGATGAATATTATCAAGCATGAATATGTTACATACATCTTGATTTAAAAAATAAATGGAGTTTATTAAGATTTTTGTTCACCTAAAAATAGTACTAAGTCATAGGAACAGATGAAGATGCCAAGTTTTTTGAACAACACAAATAGTCATTTAAGCACTTGGGGTAAACTGTGATATTCACATTTGTGTTTTCAAAAATTAAAAAAGCTTTCTTTTTCTTTAGGCTTTGACCAGCCTATCTTTTCACCTTGTACCCATACCATACACACTTAGTGTCCTGCAAGCTTTCTATTGCCTGGGCTTACTCAGCTGCCATCCTCTTCCTCCTTGATCTGCTTGCTGCTCCAGGCCCTAACAGCTGCCTCCCGATCCCTCCAGCCCTGGGGACCTGTTGCTGCTTTCTGCTTCGTGTTCCTGAGCCATCTCACCCATCCTCTACCTTAGATACCTGCCTGATTCTTTCTTACTTTAAAAGCAGACCTCTGCGTTTGCCCTTGGGCTCAGATATATCTTCCAAGACTCCTATTCCTCCTTTCTCCCCCAATTGCCAATTACATTTCCTTCCTCCTCCCTCTTTGCAGCCGGTGACAGCCGGGCTCCACATCGCTCCTCCTCGCATCCGCTTCCACACCGAGCCCGGACCCGGTGCTCTCCACTCCATCCCAGCCTGCTCACTCTGCCCCATCGCTGCCGTGTCTGTGCTCCAGCCAGCAGCACCTCCTGCGCTGGGGGAAAGCGCAGCCCGCTCGTAGTCCCGGGATTATATTCCCAGCAGGGCATCATTCTTTGCTGCATCCACTCCAGGCAAGTTGCTCTCTGCGAGCAGATGGATCAAAGCTGAAGATGAAAAATTTGACATTTTCCCAAGCTGCAAAAGATCAAGAGATCTTATTCATGGAAGCATTGCACCGTATCTCCAGTGGCAGTTAAAAACAAACAACCAACGGACAAAAAACCTAACGTGCCGAGCTTGCTTTCAAAATCAGACACGCAGCTTACCAGAGGGAAGAACAGGCATGAACTCCTAATGATATATAAATATTCCCTCTGGGAAAATAAATAAAACAATGTTCTTTTTATAACAGTAGGTATGAAATCTCAAAGTAGGAAAAAATCTCTTTGTTTTTGTAAGCACCTCTATTTTCCTGAAACTGTTTACATCATGAAGCCTCCTGCCTTCCCAAAGCACCGGAGTAATAAAGGATGATTAACCACAATTCTCTTTTTTGTAAGCTACCACAGGATCACTTTAAAGTACTGAGACCTTGAAGAAGTTGGATTTGAAGAGCACGAGGACTACACAGGCCAAAATAGGAGTGCGCACTATGCAGTCAGTTATATAAACGATGAAGAATATAAATACAAGATGCTAGTGAGGAGTATTCTAACTTCATTTAGGCCTATTTGCCAGAGTCAGGTTTTCTTCTAGTTACAAAGGAAGACCCTTAAAAATCAGTCTATTATTATACCTAAGAAAAATTAATTCTCCGTGCTTTCTTAGATAGGATTATGGACAATAAATGACTAGTTGACTAGTTAGGATTTAGTTGGTGTGCTCTGTCTTGTTATTCTATTTACTTCTTTAAAAGTAAACCCCACATGCCAGACACACATGAAATGAGAGCAAATGAAAAACTCAGTTATAACATTTAGAGCCATCCTGGTGTGAAGGAAAGCTGAGAGTTGACAGCTCCAACATACCAGTCAGTGCCTAAGTCTGTTTAACTATGGACAAAATTTCTTGATCTAAACAGACTGAAAGAAAGAAAAGAAAAACTATAGCCAGCTGAAATGCCAAAAGGTGATCAGTGACCACTTACCTCTGAAGTAAAGTTATGAAAAAGGAAATTATTTCTGAATATCAAGAAATAAATTATAATAATATGTTATGTTAAACCACAAGGACATCTTTAAAGAGTGGGTGACTTTTTATAACTGGTCTAGACAAACCAATTATAAATACATTAGAGCATAACTTTGCACTGGATAGAAGACAACATCAGCATTTTGTTTTTAGTAGTTTAAATTATTCTAAGGTGAATCGAAAAATGCCTGGTCTTTCACCACCCCCTTCTCTCTTACCATGCACACTGCTGCTAATTCATCAATATCAGACATCTGAACCATTTATATATCACCCCATATTTGGGACCAAGAATGTAGAATTACCCAGACCAAT